CACAGCGCGCAGTTTTTAAACCTTTAATTCAGGTGTAGCAGGCGGTTGCAGAATGAGGCTCCTGGTCTAGAGAGTTCACACACAACTAAGGCCAAATTGGTCAATGCTTTTTCTGTAACACTTGTCGAGCAATTAGTGCAAGATACTACTTCCGCATATATCCATTTCGCTAAATGCGGTTCCACTTACATTGACATCGGTAATCAGTGCGAACAATACAATACCTAAATGGGGATCTTCTTCCAGTGTGTGCTTAACGTAGGCGTTTCAACGATGCCCAACCAAAAAGCTTGCCTTCTACCGTGTGTATATTTTATCTCAAAATTATGTTCCATACTTAAATTTCGGCGCCTGCACTGTAGATGTGCACAATGCACCTGCAACTACTAGCCTGCACTGTTATATTTTGATTGCGGGAGCGAAATGAGTTGCCTCGGAGTGGGGATTTTTGATTCCTAACAATCTCTGCCAATTAACTATTCGACCTTCAGTCTGGCGTTCGACAAGGCTGTATCCTGTCGCGCATTCTGTTCAACTACGCTATTAACTGCATTCTCTGGAAGGACCTACATGCAGTTGAGGGTGTTGAATTTTAACCCGGACGCCGACTTGCTGAGGTTGAATATGCCAGTCTTGCTAGCTTCAATATTTTCTGATCCACAGTCTGTGATGTCAGGGATGAACGAAGTCGCTAAAGCAATCGGTTCATCCATAATCGCTAGGAAGACCAACAGGTTTTCATGTTGCATCCCTTATCAGGAGCGCGGGCATCTCGAGATTACTGACTATCAACCTAAATAAGTAAATAGTTTCAAATAGCTCGGGGTCAGGCTGCTACTGAATAGACAGAGCAAAGATAACATTGTCTTTTCAATCAACGTTGCTAGCAGTATTTTATCAATCCTTTTAAAGTGTTCATGGATCCGACGCGCCATCACCGTCGCCACGGAAATCGGTGCTTGCCGTGCTTCCGTCCGGTCAGTCCTCGTTTACGATTGCGTCTACTGGGCTGTGCGCGTAAAAGATGTACGAAAACGGGAGGTGAACCGACTTCGTCGCAAATGAGACAGTATGCACTCGTAGCGACTACATCGCTTATCTACTTAGAGATGTCAAAGAGGAGGTCAACTCAAAACTTGGCTCGATACAGACATGGAAGTGGTTCTTGCACCTTGTCTCCGTTGCTGACCAAGAGAACGAAGTGAATTGTACAGGTCTGGTCGTCGCGCGTGGAAGGATATCGTCTGTAATATAACCGAAGCCGGCTAATTCAGGCATGATCGTAGCTGTACTAGTATCCATATAAATGGGTAACATAGTAAATCGGTTTATCGTCACTCGGGTGTTCCAGTGTGATTCTCACCGCCGCTAAATGAGGTTTTGCGCGATAAAAGCTGTTTTCTTTCTAATATCCATATAAAAGGGTAATAAGTAAATCGGTTTATCGTCACTCGGGTGTTCCAGCGTGATTCTCACCGCCGCTAAATGAGGTTTTGCGCGATAAAAGCTCTTTTCTTTCTAGACGGTCTGCACATGCGGCCTCATAGCCACCAGAATAGATTCATCGACGCCTCCACTTCCTGCGCTTACCACCACCGCATCCTCCTTTGCCATTGTCACACCTGTTGCCCTCGGCACTAGACTTCCTTTTCGAACGCCTTACGTTTTTTGAGGAGATGATGGCACTGCGAATTATGCCCTCCGCTCTAGCAAGTATATGCGCTTTTGGCTGCGTAGGCTCTGAGAAACCTAGTCCCAACGGCTTCATTGCCTGCACCTTCATCGGGCGGCTGCAACGGCAGCCAATCAGCGCTCTGCTGAGTCATGCACTGGCACAAGAGCGAGAAGCCCTGCTTGTGCTAGTTCAGTGGCCGCGCCTATCCGCCGCTGGACAGATGTTGCTCCTCCTCCTCCTCCGCCTTCCCGTCGACCCTTGCCGCTTGACTCACACCGGA